CATCAATTGACAGCCATCAATGCGCACATCGACGTGGGCAACACCTACTACGGGTCCAACAAAGCCAGATCACGCATCGACTACTTCGAACATTGGACACGACAACCGCATGGAGATCGTGAAATACGTGAAGTTGAATTGGAAGATCCACGCCAAACTACGCAGCCTACTGCACGTTGCCGATCACGTCCCCATGATCATGCAGATCAAGATGCCTGTCAGCGGTGCCAACATCAAGAACAACAACATCCGCTGGGACTTCGGCCTTCTTGCTGCTGGGCTCCAGACGGGCGCCCACCGCGCCGCCTTCCTCAATGACGTCTACGCCGAGACCAGCAAACGCAGGGAGGTCATCCGAGTTGCCAAGATGGGTCAGTTTCCGACCCGCCACAACGCTCTCATCGCCCATATCATTCGTGAATGCGTCCGTAAGTATTATACAAAGGAAGGAGGAGGACAGCCACAATGGTACCAACAAGCACGACTTGAGCGCCTCTGCTTGCTTAGAGAGCGCGCCGACTACCGAGCTCGACGACTACCTTTCAACCATGAGACCCTGCGCGAGATCCAACGACGAATACGAACACACCAACGCTGGATGGACCACTGGTGGAAAGTCAGTATTGACCAGGACATCCGCGACGCGTGGGCTACGCGCGACCTATCCCGAGTCGCGCACCTGACGTACATCCGAGCAGGACGACGGACGGGGCCACAACGTAGACCATACCTCTTCACTACCATCCACGCGCCCCTCCGCAGCCGAAAACACAGATGCCCTTACTCAACCAGCTGTTCAAGGGGGACTTTCGGCCACGCCTGCCTACGTCAGTATGCATATCGACGACCCGACATCTATTCCACGATTACTGGCCCAATCGAACGACATACAACCAGTGGGGGAGCACACCGGCGCCCCCGAGCTCCACGACATCGAGACAGCAGCAGAAGAGCTCGACCATCTGCAGAAACGGCTGTGGAGGGAGAAACGGAGGTGCTACAATCCACCTTGGGCGCGGCCCATCGAACTCACCATCGCGCCCCTCGCCCCGCAGTATTTGACCCGCCCTGGCGTTCAAAGGGCAGGGATGGGAAATGACACCGCAGACAATCAGTACGCGGACCCGCTCGCCGAGCGAGTCTACCAACCCAGTCGACGGAAGCTCGTGATTGACCATAACGCCAGCTCCACCATCAACCAGACGTTCGTCACACTACTTGCCCACGTCCACCGATGTGGATCCATGCCCGCCCAGGCTTTCACTAGTCAGGCGGTCGCTATCGGTAAAAAAGGGAAAAGCCCCACTGGCAACGTGATTCAGGATATTCATGCATGCGTGCGTTTACTTCATTGTTTCGACCACTTTTGGCGTTTGTATATCAGGAAAGGACTCGTTCAGTATGGAACCCAATTCGACCCACCACCGTGGGCGTACGGAGGCATTCATTCCCGTCGCCGCGAGTCGCTCATGCTTATTGCTAAGCTTTTTTGATATGGAAGATGAGAGCAGCCAGACTTTCTTTTCTGTGTAAGTCGTACGACATGCGGAACGCAGTCGCGACAGGCTCACACGAGCGACTGGTCGCAGCTCACACACTCCGATGCGAAGACGAACATTTTCATCCCCTCCTTGAGCAGCATCGACAGGGTGCTGCAGTGTTTCTGTAGGCGTCTGATGCCAGCATAGCTCTTCGACCAGGGACAGGAGGGAGGGTGGGCGACTCGAACGAGCCTGAACTTTTCATGGGATCTTTTTATCCATTAGTTGTGCAGTGGTCCCAGGAGATGGCCCAGGTCCAGGGAAACCCGTTTCAGGTACATTGCCCTTTCACTGGTGAAGAGCACGATGCGCATCTTGGGGCTTTCATCGACGATTTAGTCAAGATCCTCCCGGTGCCAGATGGCACGTCCCTCCAGGCGCTGCAGATTGATAAGATCGACAACGACACGCTCTCCCAGGCCCTCGAGGCTGGCGGCTACGCACAGAACACCAGTAAGCAGGACACCCTTGTCTCACTGGGCACCCATGGGGCTACGAAGGAGGCCGAACGGAACATCTCTGGGAATGTTGTCCAGGGCTTGATTCATCTCGGAGGATATGTACACGTCGCTAACAACACTCGTCGTGAAGTCGAGGCCCGCATACAATCGGGAAAGACTGGGTGGTGCCGTCTGGGCAACTACTGGTATTCTGGAGGACCTTGGAAGGCCAAACGACTCGCGTTCGTGTCCAATGTCGCGGGGAGGGTCTGGTCGGGCCTCGAAAGCTATGTGCTGACCCCCAGAGAGCTCCATAGACTCGACAGTTCGCTGGCCCATAAACTACGATCAATGATGAGAGGAACGGCGCACAAGGAGGATGAGAACAACAATCATCGTTCCCTGTCCACCCGTCAAGTTTTTCTTGAATTGCAAGTTGCACCGACTGCCATCGAACTACTCGTGCGCAGGCTCAGTTGGTGGCAGGGCATCACTCGATCACACGCTCATCAAGGCAATTTTCTCGCGGCTTTTTTTGGAAGGTGCAAGTTCGAGCAACAGGCGGCCATAAGCAACCGCCCCGTCAGCGCGGGCACCCTCCATTCGCAGGGTGAGATCTCGGCAGACCCGAACGTGCACCCGCGGGCCAAACAGCTTGATGCGCCTATCGTCTCACACGGTTGGCGAGAGCTTTCAGGAAGCGTGGCAACCTCGAGCTGTAGCAAACTTATGGGACGACGAGTGGGTTCGAGAGGCCTTTCTAAGCTGCGACGTTCGGGCTCTCAGGGCATCCTATTGGACGACTCAGTGGGCCCCCCCCCGAGGCCAGCGTGATCACCTCCTCTCCCCCCTCGGCCTCAGCATACGACGAGACGGACACCGATGACGAGACGAACCGCCCCTTCGTGTGCAACATCGAGTCGTGCCAGAAACGGTTCGGGACGCTCAAACAGCTCGCCACACATCCAACCAATTCTAAGAGCCTAGGACACGGTATGCCAGCGGTATTGACCACGTTACAGATCGACAACAAATGTATTGTGTGCCAAACTACATTCCCAAATCACGATCACGCAGTTAGACATTTACGACGAGCATGGCAAGCAGGCAGATGCATCCCAGAACTTACGCATCATGTATATCCCTGGGTCCCAGCAACATGTACTACACGTCCTTTACGAGACTACGCGTTGGACCATGCATGCCAACATGAATATCATGATCAGCAAAAGCTCCGAGTTCACGTCCTAGGACATGCGCCGCCGTCGCCATCGGGTTCCATGCTCATGCCTGTCGTCAGAAGGCTTACCACGCGCACGGCCACTCCGAGCGCTCACCCGCCGCGTCCCGCGCCATCCAGCTGCCGCCCCTCGCCTGCCGTCGAGGATGCCCCCGCTGCGCGCGCCGCCATTCGTCAGCCGGTGGAACGCATCGTAGGCAGCGACCCGCGCAGCAGAGCGAGGCACCGACCACTGCGACGGCTACGAGCAGCACAGCGTCCAGCAGCAGAAGTACATGCAACATCGCAAGGGACACCTCGGGCGGCCACTGTTTCCTCCACGCCTGCTCTTCCTGTGCTACCTCCTGGATCAGGGGATGACGCCCAAGCAGAGAGCGTCGTGGCGGCTCCCGCTGGACTCCTCCCAGGGCTCGAAGGGCTCTGGCGCCGCCTCCAGTGCCGCTGCAGGCCAGAAGGGGACAAAGGCTCCACGCCAGCCAGGCCCGCCGCCGCCACCGCAGAGGCGATCTCGATCACCGCGAACACCAGCCGAGGAAGGGGGGGAGCAGCCGCGCCAGCAGCCACGCCCATCGAGGTGGACGAGGAAGACAACGGCGAGAAGGACAAGAAGACCGACCAGTCCAGCCGACGCCCAGCTCGCCGCGGAGGACGCCGCGGGCGCCGAGGCAATCACAACCCCAAGGTCTGGACCAACAAGGACAAGAACTTGATTGACTTGCTACGGTCGACCTTGAATCTGCTGCTCCAGACGACGCACAAGACCCGGCTGAACAGCAGCATCAGCACGGGCACCTACACGACGAGCAACGAGCATCCAGTGATCGTAGCCATCGCGCAGGAGCTCGAGGGCTACAAGCACACCCTGGACTCCCTCAGGAAGAGCGGCACCCCAGAGGACAATAAACGCTTGCAGGAGATAGGGTCCCCAGCCCCGTCCCTCGCGCTCGCGGCTTTGGAAGGACTGCGCAAGTGCGACGTGGGCGGGTCCATGAAGGGGGCCATCCGCAACTACCTGCTCCGAGCGGAGCCCGAGGACATCGAGGCGGAGGCCGAGATCAGCAAGGAGGATCTCCTCGACGTCATTTCCTTCGTACGCCTGGAGAAGTGCTACGACGACACCAAGACGAAGCTGGTGATCGGCGCGCCCATATGGGGGGGCCGAGTTTTGCTCAGCCGTGCCCTCGAGGCCGAGGGCCAAGCGGTACATCGCAGAGGCGTGGCCCCAGCGGGATGGCTCGAGGAAGAAGTAGGCCACTGGCTGGAGACCCTCGAGCAGTGAGCCCAGCCTTTCGCCAGAATGAACCTGCATGGCATGATGCAGGTAGCAGGGGAGAGGAGGCAATCCAGCGCCGTGTCATTTTCGTTCGGGGCGAAGACCTCCCTGCATGCAGCGGCACAGTCACGGTTGCGTACCCTCCCTCCTCCGTCGCGCTTCCAACCCACCCTCCTGCCGTGCCATCGCAGGAGCTATTCGAGGCGGAGGCCCCACCTGAGTTCGAGCTTGACACAAACGCCGAAGACGAAGCGG